GTCATACAGAAATAAAGATGATTGAAGATACAATATAGTATCTATATCTCTTTCTTACAAGTGCTCATATGAAATATGTTTCCTTTGTTTTTTGTATGAAACAAAACATATCGCGCTGCCTATTGGATTCTCTGTCTATGGCAAGCGCAGATAATGACTTAGGCCGGCTATACACGTACGGAATCCCGTTCTGCCCGCAAAATTCCGTACGTAAACTACGGTAGATAGGTGTGTGACTGTGTGACGGATAATTGATTTTATACGGACTTGCTGTGTTCTGAATCCCGAATCGGAATTCCGTATACATTTTTTTTTATAGAATTTTATAGGCAAAGGATCACACTGTCCACTTGATGGTAAGTGGATGCTGTGACCCATAGATACCCACATTTATCCTCAACTATAAGAATCAAAATGCAAATGCATTGTCACCCCTGAGGACTAAGATTGAATGCCTCGATTACAGTAAAAGGGGCCTCCGGTTCTCTATACTAACCATACGAAACACAGCATCATTATACTGCTATTTTACGCTGGTATTCTGTGAGAGCGTGGTCGTTCCCCGATCGAGTCAACCCATTCATGCTACAGTACTGTAATATAGCTGCAGCATAGCTTTACCACGTAAAAGTAGTATGTGGCGGGCCTTATTCAGATTTTGACAATTTGACAGGTTTTGGCATTGAGTTATACAACACTAGAGGAGCAAACCTCATTACCGCGCGTCGAAAAAAGTGTAACCACTATCCAAACGCGACAACGTAGCTTTGAAACTAATAACAATTTTAAATAAACATATATCTATCTCACTTACACAAGTTGCGAAAATAATATCGTCGCTAAGATTAGATAAAGATAGACACACAAACATGCAATGGCGGGTTGGTGTGGCTTACTATATGAAATTTTACCTAAAATACGCAATAAAAATGAGTTTTTTTAAGCTGCAGTTAATTGTTTTAATATTAAAAAGTATATTTTATTTTAAAATATTTATTGCCTCCCCTTAGAAAAAAAAAGGATACAAAGCTTATCAGGTGAATAGAAGTAAACATAATGATGAAATAAAACATATTTTTATAAGTATTTTTATTGTACTAATAAATCAAACAATATAAAATAGGTAATAAAATATAATTTACATAAAATTTATATGAAATTATAATTAATATAAAATTATTAATATAAAATAGGTACATATTAAATATATTTAATAGATAATTCATGAATAAATGTGGATGCCGCCACCGAAGTATGCGGTGTAAGTAAGAGAACAAATGAAAGGAAATTAATACGTTGTGGTGGGATGATGAGGTACGGGTGGAAGTTGAATCAACAAAGAAAGCATGGTTAGATTTACTAGCAACCAAAGCTGGTAATTCTTCTGGTATGAATGATGAGATTTAAAGAAAAAAGGCAGAATTTAGACGTCTAAATAAGAGAGTAAAAGAAGTTGTTGAAAGGAAAAAGAAAGAAAGAACGGATAAGAATGATAGAAGGATATCTAATAATTTCCAGGCTAACATAAAAATGTTCTGGAAACTCGTAAGAACTGCCAGGGGAAATACAAAACAGCCTATAATTAATGCTATAAGAGACGAGAATGGATGTATTCTGAATGATGAAGTTTCGAATTTAAACAGATGGAAGGAATACTTTGAAAGCGTGTTTATGAGTGAAGAGTCGTCTGAATTAAATGAACTAGAAATTCCGAAAGAAGTGGAAAGGGGTATGGAGATAAGTGTAGATGAAATAATGAAAGCAATGAAAAGCATGAAAGCAGGTAAGGCAGCTGGATATGATAGAGTATCACTTGAGATGCTAAGGGCTGGAGAGGGAGTGGTGGCAGGCCTGCTGTACACCTTGTTTAATTTATGTTGGAAATTAAAACGGGTACCGGATGACTGGTTTAAAGCAGTTATAGTACCAATATTTAAAGGAAAAGGGTCACAGCAGGTCTGCAAAAACTACCGTGGTATCAGCTTGCTTAGTATTGTGGGTAAACTGTATGCTAAGGTGTTAATTGAAAGAGTTATGAAAGAAACTGATGGAAAAATTTGGGATGTGCAAGCGGGTTTTAGAAAAGGAATGGGGTGTACAGATCAAGTCTTTTCCATGCGCATGATTGCGGAGAAGTTTTTGGCCAAAAACCAGAAAGTTTTTTGTGCGTTCATGGACTTGGAAAAGGCTTATGACAGAGTGGACAGGAATGTGTTATGGCAAACACTGAATTCATATGGGTTGAGCGCTGGTTTGATACAAGCATTAAGGTCTCTTTATAGGGACTCTAGTGCTTGTGTCAGGATCAATGGGGTCTACTCGGACTGGTTTGGCATCCAAAAAGGTGTCAGACAGGGCTGTGTAGATTCCCCTTGGCTGTTCAACCTATTTATGGACAGGTGTTTGCAAACTTTGAAAGATGAAGAATGTGGGTTAAGAATGGGCGAATTAACCGTCAAATGCCTTTTGTATGCCGATGATCAAGTCATATTTGCATCATCAGCGGCTGAGTTGCAAATGATGGTACTGTACTGATGGTACTGATGGTAGTGATCGACAGTAGCCTAATGGCAGGGCGCGGATCGCGAACTCAAAAGGTCGTGGGTTCGAATCCGCCATTTGACTACTGTCGTGAACCACTCCTAACACAAGCATTTTCAAGCTTACCAGTAGTGGTTAAAAGGAATATTAGTAATGTTAATTAATAAGATTACTAATATTTTTATTAACAAAAAAATTTGATCCTTAATTGAGGATAAATATGAATGTCTATGGGCCACAGCATCTATTTACCATCAGTTGGACTGTGTGCTCGTTTGTCACCCAATTGTCACCCAATGGTTACATTAATGATCTGGGAATTAAAAGAAAGGGGAATGAAAGTGAACGCATGTAAGACGAAAGTGATGGTTTTTGAAAGAGAAGAAAGCAAAACGGTATGTGAAATAAGAATGGAAGGAGAGTTAATTGAGCAATTGGATGAGTTTATGTATTTGGGATGTGTATTTAGCAGGGATGGTAGATATGAGAGGGATATAGAACGACGAGTAAATGCAGGGAATATAGTGAATGGGGCACTACACTCTATTGTGAAGAACCAGAATGTGTCAAAAAAGGCACGTATGGTAATTCATAATGCTGTGTTAGTCCCTACTTTAATGTATGGTAGTGAAAGCTGGGTGTGGCAGAAGAAGCACGAAAGTAGAATAAATGCTGTAGAAATGCGGTCTTTAAGGAATATGCTAGGGTTGAATCTGAATGACAGGGTGAGAAATTGCGTGATAAGAGATAAATGTGGTATGCAAGATGATGTTGTGACCAGGATTAAGCAAGGAATGCTTCAGTGGTTTGGCCATGTAGAAAGAATGAATGAGGAAAGAGTGACAAAGCAAATTTATATGGCAGATTTGAACGGCCGAGTCGGGAAGGGACGCCCTAAAAAAAGTTTATCGACCAAATTGGCGATATTTTGAAAATGGGCCACGTTAGAAGTACCCTTAACCGACGAACATGTATGCGTAGATATATGGATGTAAAGGAGGCGAAAGAGGTATGTCAGGATCGTGCCAAATGGAAGTCCGTAGTCTCTGCCTACCCCTCTGGGTGACAGGCGTGAATGTTTATGTTTTATGTTATGTTATGTTTTATGAATAAACTAAAATAAGATTAATTAATTATTTTGTATGAAAGTTAAAACGGAGTTTTTATTATAATTTCCAAAATATTTAAAATCAGAGGTAACAAATTAACTTACTCCATTAATTATATAGTCTCCCATTAATGTAGGATAATCACTAACGCGGAAAAGTGGCAACATTGAACCTAAATGGTAATATTCGATAATTTTATTTAATTATTTGAGGTTTTTTACGTTTATATGAAAACAAGAACTAAAAATTATGTGTTGAAAATGATTATGATTGATTTATTACGTTTTTGTGACCGTGAATAGCATTCTTTCACTACGCATTTACCGATTTTATGTCGCGGCTCAACTCTGTCGGCTTCACATTGAACACTGAACTGACGTCAGCTAGGCACATGGCTGTGGCCATATGTGCAGTGGCAACGCTTTGGCGCGGTTATTACTGATCTAGTGTAATATATAAATCAATGGGTTTTGGCGGGAACTTGGCCGTGGACGGATTGTTGCTCCTGTTTTGTCGCTTGAATAATGGTTTGAAGTGGATTTTGATTCGTAAAAGTGATGCGATTTTGTGAATTAAGTGTCCGCGCGTGTGAACTATTAGAGAAAACGACGAAATAAGTGTTTTGATGTCGATATAAATCTTAAGTTATTTTGATCGCTTAGGCGCCTTATGAAATTGAGTGGTTATCGTCATCAACTGTCCGCTAGGTTGAGCTGTCGTCAAAATCTCCTATGGGCTTCACAATGTGACGCATCAGCATATTGTGAAGAAAAAGTACATAAAATGAAGATTCCTAAAGAAAGGATAGGCTCAGAAGGTCTAGAATCCAGAGCCATAAAGCCAGTTAATAAAAAAAACTTGACATTGGGTGCGTTTGGCAGAAAAAAGCGCTAGCAAGCGCTTACAAGCGCTGAAATAGTTTTCAGCCACGACATGATACTACTTCAGTAGTGCTGACACAATGCGCCATTTTGCTTGTTTAATTTGTTTGTTTTGAAGTAGAGTTTTTAAGTTGTTTTGTGCAATATTAGTTTTAAGTAATATAATAACGTGAATAAACATATACATGTTATTAAAAATTCATGATTGGTAAGTTTTTAATATGAATACTTTACAAACATATATTTAATTTAGGTTAGGTTCCCCGGTTAAAACTAACATCGTGTCCTGGAGGAAAATAGCTACTTACGATTTGACAGCGCTTACCGCTTACGATCGCCATTTTGTTTACAAGCGCTTGCTAGCGCTTTTTTCTGCCAAACGCACCCATTGACATATCGCTATTATTTTGGTATTTTGACAGTTTGACAATTAGTTTTGTTGAATGCAGGGTCTCGGATGAAAACAAAAATGTCTGTCTTTTTCCAGACGGGAAAGTTTTGTATATTTCGGAAATCTTTAAGTAATCCTTTTTGTAATTTATTACTTTTCAGAAATTACTCAGGTACTGTAGTTTTGTTTCTTTAATTATGTATTATGTTAAAGGTGATTTGGAGGTTATATCTACTGGTCGCTTTCAGATCCCTCGAAAAAGTTTATAAAATTTAACGATGTAGTCGAACAACGAAGAGCGGAGGCACGACGAAGTCTCGTAGTTCAGGTCAATTCAGAGTCCTCATTCAGAGAACTGTATGGTTATTGTTCTAAATATGCTCCTATTAAAGACGTTTACCACTATCGGAACACAGAGAAAGAGGTAACGAGACTAGCTATTAATGCTATTTAATGATTGTTATGTATAATAATTTACCTTGTGATGTCGGTGTCAGAATTTTTTTTTCTTTTTTTAAAAACGTTACCCCTACACTAAGATTTTCTCTTGTATTGTGGGGGCAGTTTACAAACATAAATTGCACAAGGACGAACATCGAGACCCGGAACAACTACTTGTAGGCCTTACAAATACTTGTTCCGTGCGAGATTCGAACCCGCGACCCCCAGCGCAGCCACTCATTGCTAGGCCACTGCGCCACGGAGTCGTCAATTCCCACTATTCGATATCATCCCATGGGTGACATGAGAGGTGACTGATGGAAGTGGAAACAGGAGAATGCAACTCAATAGTATAATGAAACTGCGGTTGCCAACCCGCCTACTAAGCGGGAAACTTTGGAAAAATTACGATAATGCAATCTTTGGGATAGACTTTCTAATTTGCGAAGTTCGAATGTAATTAATGAATAATAATTTTATAATTAATAAATCTTCTGGTAAAGAATTATTTTGCAGTCCATTAATCACGTGAGCTCGAAAGGGAGGGAGGGGGTTTGACGAAAATGGTCACGAAGAGGAAGGGGGGTGTAGTAAGAGTGTTTTCGTCAAATGTGCAATTTCCAAACCGAAAAGCGGCATGTAATGTGACTTTGACTTGACTGTGCATGTAAATTCATGTCACAAACATAAACCTAATCCGAACAATAATAGTCTAGGGATGAACAATGTTTGTCCTTGATGCATCGTCAAGTGATGATCGATCGGTAGATCGATTGTCACTTCTTAGTAGTAGAGAGATTCTTTGTGTAGTGTCCGAAAGACGAAGAGTGGCTTGATGAAACCGTCGCTGATCTTTAACAAAGCACAGTGCCAACAACTGACTTGCAAGATGCTTATCCATTTGTTAGTGTTGAAGAAAGTCTTGCAAATCTGTGGTCCGAGGACAATGTATATTAAATATATTCGTGTACTAGTACAATATATATTTTTTGCGTGATTACATCACTTCTTTAATATTATTTTTATGCCAGTCAAAAACAACCTGCAATCTTTCTGTCTAGACACATGTCTGGTCCTTGATTTCAGAATAAAACTAAATCATGCTTTGTAGGTACTAAATATTACATGTGGTTTTAGGCGGGTGGTGAGGGGGTGTTAAAAATGCTAAAAAAACATCACGTGATTAATGGACGGCCTCTTACGGCTGCAATTCAATTTGTTGTATATAAGTCCAGCTCCAGACACAAATGAATTGTCTGAGTCCAAGTGATTAACATTTTTATGGCTGTATCTGTGTTAAAAAAAATTAATAATTTATTTGTGTTGAGGACCTAAGCACTATGCTCAATAGTGTTTCCCAACAGATAGATCTTAAATGAACATGGAAAAAACAAAAATCATGTGTAACGTCCATGTCATACCTATGTCAGTAGTTGCTGGAAGCACTAAACTCAAAGTTGTTGATGAGTATGTTTACCTGGTAAAAATAGTTCGACTAGATAAGTCTTAGTCTAAGGTAGGTGAAGTATAGAAGGACTCCCCACAAGATGGAGTGATGCCCCGATAAGACATGTAGGAATTCGATGGATGCAGGTGGCTCAGGACTGTGCTTTGTGGCTCTCCTTGGGGGAGGCCTATGTTCAGCAGTCGAAGGGCTGTAATGATGATGACAATATATTATATTATTTTATAACTATAGCTTGTAATTACTGTTTCAGCATTTTATGCTAATTGAATTTGAAACGGAAGAAAATGTTAAAGAAGTATTACAAGCATGTAGCTCGCATCAAAAGGACTTGGATGTTCTGCCCATACAGTCACCATTCCTGTGGTTTAAAGCTGCGGTTAATAATAAAGAAACATACAAAGTTCCTAGTTCAAAAACCTTAGCAGCAAAAGATGGGATTACAGCAATCGATGATGACATTCTATTTGAGGAGTTGTTAAATTGTGAAACAATGTCAAATCAGATACAGTTGTTGTATGAGAGAACAAAATTAAATGATTTAGGAATAAGGCTGAGATTTATGGTAGCTAGACAGGTGATTAATATTTTAGTTTGTGTATTATTCTACTTCTAACAGATCTCATAATAATATTGAGATGATTTATGTTGGTTATGTTAAAAATTAAACTTTTCATATAAAGTAAAAATAAACTACAAGAAACTACAAATATTAAAATAAATAGCTTATAAAGTTGGTGCTAAAAATTGTGTATAGTCTGTTCTCTAAAATACTATTTTATATGTGGTAGAGCGATGCTGCAGTTATATTAGTAGTATAGTTGTAGCATGAATTGGTCGGCTCGACCGGGGAAGGACCACACTCTTAGAATACCGCGTAAAATAGTAGCTTAATGCTGCTGTGTTTCATGTAGTGAGTGTAAAAAACCGGAGACCCATTTTACTGAAAACAAGGCATTCCATCTTAGTCCTCATGGGTGACAATGCATCTGCATTTTGTTTCGTAAAAAATAAAAATATAAATTTCTTTGCAACTTTCCGCTAAACATATAAAATGATGTGTCTTACCTGGATTGAAGCGCACCTCCCGCCCTCCCTCAATTGCATACACTAACTCCGTCACCACTAGACCAAGCACCACTATTCTCAAAGTAGTGGTCTCTGGAGAGCCGCCTTACTACTCCGTCACACTAGACACTACTTTGAGAGTAGTGGTGCTTGGTCTAGTGGTGACGGAGTTAGTGTATTCAATTGAGGGAGGGCGGGAGGTGCGCTTCAATCCAGGTAAGACACATCATTTTATATGTTTAGCGGAAAGTTGCAAAGAAATTTATATTTCTATTTTTTATTATAATGGATTTCCGCAAAGTAACTCCTGATTCTATCAATTATTTTGTTTCGTAATCAAGGATATATATAGATGTCTATGGGCCAGAGCACTTACCATCAGCTGGACTGTGTGCTCATTTGTCACCGTATCCTATAAAAAAAAATCTGTCGGTACACCCGGAGGCGCACTTATTATTTTGCTCTTATTTTGATAATTTTAACTGATTGTTAATTAAATGATTTTCTTTTCTAAGAAAAATAGTATTATATTTTATTCTTACACACCGTTCACATAGTTTTCGCTACAGCGCTTTATTTTTTAAGTGCCGAATTGTTCTTTGAGTGTACTTCGTACGCGGCGAACTTTGATGTCGCAGCGGCGCCTTTGACAAGATGCCGCACGTGCTAAGGCGGCGCGACACAAAGATAACCGTATCTAAGTGAACAGACTATACAGGGTTATTTTGCAATAACCCACCAAATTTGCAGAGAAAGTTCAGAATAATTACAGGCGAATGTTGGAGAAAAATTAATTAAAATAACACTCAAATATTTAGTCCTTTTATCTTTTAAATTCAAAATGCGTAGTAATTCATTATCTTAACTGATTTTACTGCTCATGCACACATTCGTAAAGGTCGATCAATAGGCAAAAACATTGTTGCCCATAAGTCACATTCAATTTGGGATAATTTCAAAATAAAGTAAAAGCTTTATTTACTCGTATTTACAAAAACTGCAATAACGGTATATCATTATTCAAATATTTGAACTTAAGTTTGAAAATTGGCTATTCTTTGAAAAATAATCCTGTATTGTTATTTGTTTTTGTAACACATTAGTTTGTTGAAGTTGGTTTTTACTGTTAAATAGTTTATTGTTTGCTCCTTTTGAGTGGTTTTGGGAAAGGTAATAATAAAAAACTAGAAACTAGAATGTTACCTTAACAGCTACTTGAAAAATTCTTCCAATTTTTTCCCACCTTTATGGATGGAATTTTTGGTTTCAATATAAATGGGAACATTCTTGAGTTTCAGCATATTTAATAAAAATAAATCATCAACATCCATTAATATTGTGTGTAACATATATTGGATGATTTTTTTACCGTCCGTAAAAAAAATAGAGTGTAACAGGTGAAAGGAATAGAAGCATAGGCACTGATATTTTACAATGTTTTTTATTTTACAGTTTCATAACATGTTAATGTAATATAAAAATACTATAAAATATCAGTTCCATAGGTTTCTATTCCGTTCACCTCTTACACCTTATTTTTTTCCAAACATTAAAAAAATCACCTGTATATAAAAAAAACATATAGCCGAAGAATCTTCTTTTTTTTGAAGTCTGCTAATTGTAACAGCCATTTCATTCAGGTTATTATATAGAAATTGTATATTGTATATTTCAGTTTGAAGTAATTTTCAAAAGTTTGTATGCAAATGTGGTTGTACATCCTTTTGGTTCTTCAATAAATGGATTTGGCAAGATGGGCTGCGATTTGGATTTGGTTCTCACTAATGATTTAACAGAAGAAATGGTGAGTATAAAAATGAAAATTTCTTTCCTTGTCCTGTATGCGTTTTTATACAATTTTTCCAATTAATTAGACCAAGTAGTGATCATATGTATGAATATTCTCTTCCCTATATCGAATGTAACAAATCAGGAAATGGACAGTAGTGATCTTTATAACGACTAGAAAATTGAGTGAGTAAGAGTTCTCTGGTCTGTCCGGATTTTCGGTTTTAAGGTACCTGGCAACCGTATTCCCGAGTAGATTCTGTGATAAATGGTATTTAAAATTGCAATTAAAAATTGTATTGGTGATGGTATTGGTTTTAAATTGGGGTCACTCGCTTGCCTGTTGAGCGCTATTTTACTATATTTTTGCACTTCTGTTCCATTTATCTTCTATTTTGAAAACCTAAGGAGTGAAATTCAATCAATTTAATTTGGGATGATCCTTGTAGTACCTACAAGTTTTTTTTATAGAAGAGGGGGCAAACGAACATGCGGCTTTCCTGATGTTAAGTGACTATCGCCGCCCATGATCAACCGCAACACCAGGGGAATTGCAGGTGCGTTGCCGGCCCTTTAGAAAGGAGTAAGCTCTTTTCTTGAAGGTCCCCAGGTCGTATCGGTCCGCAAAAATCGCTGGTGGTAAACTATTCCACAGAGAGGTTGTACGCGGAAGAAAACTCCTCTTGAAACGTACGGTGGTGGACCGCCAAGCATCCAGATGGTGTGGATGGTATCGGGACGTTTGCCGCGTAGTGCGTTCACGAAATTTGGCGGCTGGGATTAATCCGAACAATTCCTCAGAGCACTCTCTATGGTATATGCGAAAGAAAATGCAAAGAGATGCAACATCTCTTTGCAGTGCCAGTGAATCGAGCCGATCGGAAAGCACTCGGTCGTCGACGATTCGAGCCGCTCTGCGCTGGATGCGGTCAAGTGGAAGGAGCTGGTACTGGGGAGCCCCAGCCCAGAGATGGGAACAGTATTCCATGTGCGGCCGAACCTGCGCCTTATAAAGTTGCAGGCGGTGTGCGGCCATGAAATACTGTCCCGGTCTGCTGAGCACGCCAAGCTTTATAGAGGCCAATTTGGCCTTCTCTTCCAAGTGACCACGAAACTGCACGTCAATCGATATGTCGACGCCGAGGATTCCGATACTGGCTGAGGCAACAAGGGGAGTGCCTTGAAACTGAGGAGATACGACAAAGGGGTTTTTTTTAGCGGGTAACGCGCAAACGGGGTCTTCTGGGGGTTAAACTGGACTAGATTTAGTCGCCCCCAATCCGAGACTCTGTTCAGCAAAGACTCGACTTCAGACACAAGTTTGTCCCGGCACTCGGAGACGTTTTCCCGAGAAATATTGGCTCGGCCGGTGTAAAGAGCATCACCAGTGCTGTCATCTGCATAGCAATAAATGTTACGGGTTTGCAACATATCACTGATATGCAGAAGAAACAGCGTTGGCGATAGCACCTTGCAGCCTTGTGGAACACCGGCGTTAATAGGCTTGCAATCGGAGCTTGCACCGTCTACAACGACCTTGATGCCCCGATCTGCAAGAAAGCTGGTGATCCAATCGCACAATTTCTCGGGAAGCCCATAAGAAGGGAGCTTCGAAAGAAGCGCTTTGTGCCAAACCCGATCGAAGGCCTTCGCAATGTCCAAACTAACGGCCAATGCCTCCCCCTTGGACTCTACTGCCTCCGCCCATCTGTGAGTTAGGTAGACCAGAAGATCACCAGCTGACCGACCACGGCGAAAACCGTATTGGCGGTCACTAATCAGCTGGTGATCCTCAAGGTACCTCATGAGCTGGCAGTTTACAATGGACTCCATTGTTTTGGAGAACAAGGAGGTGATGGCGATAGGCCGGTAGTTGGACGGGTCTGAGCGGTCGCCTTTTTTAGGAGTCGGGTGGACGAAAGCCGTCTTCCATGATTTCGGGACTACGCCTATGGAGTAGAAGTACCGGAAAAGACGCGTTAAGACCGGTGCCAACTCTGGAGCACACGTCCTCAGCACAATTGGGGGGATTCCGTCAGGCCCACTCGATTTGTGGATGTCCAGGGAGAGGAGTGCTTTGCGAACCGAGCGCTGTGTGAACTGCACTTCTTGCATGGAGCACTCACACCGCGGGATGGTTGGCGGCGTACTCCCCCGTCTCGAGGGTCGAGTTGGACGCAAAGAAAGAGCCTAGAAGATCGGATTTCTCCTTTGCGGTATGGGCCAGTGAGTCGTCCTCCCTGTGCAGAGATGGAAGAGATGGCTGACAGAAATTCCCCTGGACAGCCTTGGCGAGACAACAGAATGCACGGGTTCCAGAAGGAAGGCGAACTAGTTTCTCGCCAATTCTGCCTATGTGCTCTGACTTTGCCTTGGCAATGACTCTTTTGAAGGATCTAGAGCCGGAATTATACTTCTTTTCTAGAGCGCTGGTGTTTACATCTTGGGACGCTGATGCGCCAGCCCAGGCTTGGTAGCACTCCTGCTTATAGCATGATGCTATTTTACGGGAGCGACCAAACCATGGCTGAGATTTGCCTCCAATGGGCACCACAGAGGAAGGAATAAAAAGTTCCATACCCTGAAGCACCACATCAGCGACAGAATCCGCAACAACGTTGGGATCGTCCGGCGAGAAGCAAACCCGCCCCCAAGGGTAGGATGCAAAGAAAGACCGCATCTCATCCCAATCGGCTGACCTATAGTGCCAAACACGGCGGCAGCCTGCAGAATGCAACTGCGATTTCAGCGTGAGTGGCACCATACTCCGAGCAAGACAATGGTAAGAGGAGCCTAAAGGGGCGTCCGGGTGAGAGGTCAGCAGAAGGTCCAACAGGGAAGGTGCATGATCCTCCACATCTGAAATCCGCGTAGGCGAAGTAACCAGTTGAGTCAGACCATAAGCCAAGGCAAAATCATGAACAGATCTCCCCGCATGATAGGTTAAACGTGAACCAAGCCAGTCGGCGTGATGGGCGTTAAAGTCGCCGAGGATCACGATCTCTGCGGAGGGAATCTGCTGTAACAACGAATCGTAGTGGACCTGGTCGAAGAGTCGGTCTGTTTCGGCATTACCGCTATGGGACCTATAGAGGCACCCGTAGACGCGCGGATGGTCGTCGCTGTCTACGCGTAGCCAAAGGATGGACAGGTCCGAACCTTCAAGTCTGCCGAGGCGTCGAGAGCAGATGTCCTCTCTGACGTAAACGCAAACTCCAGCCCGAGGCACAAAGGAGTGTTCCAGTTTGTACCCCGGGTAGGAGAAATACGAGACATCAGCCGGAGAGGACACCTGCGTCTCGGTCAGAAAGAGCAGAGCCGGCCTCGCCGTCTCGAGATGGTAGTGGACGGCGTTTAGGTTAGAGTGAAGTCCCCTGATATTGCAGAAATTCACGGACAGCGTGCGAGGGGTCGCCTTGGTCTTGTTGCACCGTTTGCCCCGAGCAGTTGTAGTCTTGAGCGGAATTTTGCCCCCCCCCCCCCAGAATACGTGGGGCAGCCTGAGCACCCACGCTCAGAAGTGGAGAAACATGGTCGTGGATGCTCAGCGAGGGATTCTCCAGGGGTGCTGGTACCCTGTTGGCGTAGTCTATCATTATTTAATTCCGCTACCATGTTGATGGGGGTGGGGGGATTTGGGCCTCCGGCCACCTGCACTCACCAGACGAAACGCGGAAGCAGAGCTTCCACTTCACGCCGGTATTCTGTGAGGTCGTGGTACCACCCCGGTTTGAGCCGGCCCATACGTGCAACAGTAAAGCTGCCGCGTGACTCTACCACTGTTAAATATCTATAATATATAATCTATTTAATAAACAATGAATTTTCAATTACATACAGACTATTTATAATAGCGTAGTTTTTAGTATATAGTATAAAGTTGTAAATATTTTGTTATTTTCTATAAGGCCCGCCGCTGATTGCAATTTTTTATCGACGTGACTTTTTGTCACTTAGTCAAGTGTCAATGAAGTCAATGAAAACTATATTAAGTGCGCTCATTATGGTGACGTGATAATACGGTGACAAATAGTTGCAGCGGCAGGCAACACCGGAGTGATGTGACTGTCACTCGCCGTATGCATTACTATGGGAGTCCGCTCACAGGTGACTTTTTGTCACTCGGCCGGCGCCGCGCGTTCGGAGTAGATGTATGCTATTTAAAGTATTTGTTAAATAGTATTAATATATGTGTCAAATTACTCTGTAGATTATTGTGATATTGCAATTTTTTATGCCTCTGATTAATAAAGATTTTTTGTTTAATTAAGTAGTTGATGTAGTTTTTGTTACTTATCTCAAAGTTACCGTTAACCTTTCTTCTGCTGGAATAGCTTTGCAAAGCCAGCAACTCATCAAAAGAGTTTATATACATACGAAGATAATTAAAAAACTTTGGTGAATACTGACGTAATTCAGAATATATAGTGTAGAATTTTCCTTTAAATAATCTTTCCGTGTATATAGGATGCACCCAGTAGCGTTTTTTCCGTTTCATTTTTCTTCTACGTATTTCAAGAGCAAAAATCACGGCAACCTCGTTGAAGTCCATTACAAAAATGAACGCGATTTGTTACCCAAGAACAGATTCAGTGAGCGCATCGTGGGTGACAGCAAGTGACAGTAATAATAAATCACGGTGACAAAAAATTGCAATCAGCGGCGGGCCTAAGATGATTTTTTTGCAAATTATTGCATGTAAGATATCCCTACAATCGAAGGCTATCGCATAGTATAGTTTAAATTAAACAGCAATTACAAATACAAAAATACAAATAAAAAATATTTTATTTCTTTAACTAAGTGTAAATAAAACAGAATTTTATTTAGAAGCAATTAAAACCTAACGATGATATATAAAAATATCGTTTTGTTTTCGTGGAGACTGATGTGCAGATATAATGTCGACCTTTAACTTTTTACATATTAAAATGCTATAGTAAAATTTTCATTTTTCTGCTTGATTGTACATGTCCAGTGGATGGTTTTTAATTTCACATTTCGTGGCGTGACCTA